CAGACGGGGGTCTCATCGCCTGGCTGAGGAAGGCAGCGGCGGTGGCTGGGGGTGAGGTGCAGCCCCTGGGACTGTGCTGAAGCAGAGCCGCTTGCTGCAGCGTCTCTCCCCCTCGTGGTGCTGAGCGCCCCAAGGCGACAGTGAGCAGTGAGGGCTGGTGCTGGGAAGAGAGACCTTAATAAGGTTGCACCTGAAGCAGGCCTGAGAGGAGGAAAAGGGGCAGGCTTTTGCTTTTCTCCCCCTCGTCTGGGGCTCACTCCTTCTTCCCAAAGAACTTCTTGAAGACAGATTTGTTCTTGGGGCGAGGGGGGCCCTGGGTCTTCTCCCCCAGCACCTCCCGCGGGCTCCCCGGCCTGGCCACAAATGAGTGGCAGCGCGTCCCGGGGGCGGGCGGGGCGTGTTCCGCCGTGACGGAGTACCTGCTCCCGGCCTCCATGGGCTCCTTGGGCACCGCCACGGGCGTGATCTTCTGGTAGGTGGCTGCAAGAGAGGGAGCAGTGAGCAGGAAGGCCGGGTCACTAGCTGGGGCCTGCCAGCCGCCTCAGGGACCTCTCCGAGCTGGGCACGCATGCAGGGCTCGGGGTGCTAAAGTCTGGGCTGCAAGGACCCAGGCACCAGGTCGGTACTGGAGACAGCATCACACCCCCTCCTGTGCACACCTCTCTTGCTCCCAGAGATGGCTGTGGGGACAGGGGCATTAGTGCCACCTCCTGGCAGTGACCGTGAAACCAAGGTCTCACCCAGGGAAGCCAGCTTGCCCCACGTAATATCTGTGGGACTGAGCAGGGCTTGCCCACGGTGTACTTTGACCCCGCACAGGGAGGCTGCGCAGGAGATGGCTCCCAGCGGGATGGGTGCCAGTGATCGGCTCAAGCAGACGCCTGACTAACACTTGTGGGGAGCGGTCCAAGTGTGAGTAAAACACATCCTCTCGACCCAGCATAAAGGCCACCCAGGCCAGGGTGTCTCATGGCAACTCCAGAAAGCCAGAGCTTCCCCAACCTGTATTTATCCCATGTGCTAACACAGCCTCAGCAGGAGCTGGGCCAGGCCTGCCAGCAGGCAGCCCAAACATACAATGTCCCCTCCTCATGGACACAGAGCCCTGAGCCTGCAGCTCCCCACTCCCCATACTACCCCCTTCTCCAGCCTCCTCCTTGCTGAGCTGCAAGACCCCAGGGGCTGCCCCAAAGCGAGGACTCCAAGGTCAGGCAGCGGACACACAGATTTACCACGCTGCCCTGAGGGAGCAGCTGCAGCACCAGGCAGCAGCCAGCACACACCCCTCCAGCAGCACCCCCGGATGTGATGCTCCTCCAGCTGCAGCTCTCACCCAGGAATACGGGTCACAGCTGGCCATCGGCTCACAGCTCGCTGGCAGGGCTGGGCCGCGGGGCAGCCTGCATGCTGAGCAGACAAGCGATGAAGCAGGAGGGTGCAGTGACCATTGGGTAAGGCTGCCCCACGCATGCATGCATATACCCCGACACAGCTGTACCTGAGGTGAATGAGTAGGACCTCCTCTTGTTAGCCACCAACCCATAGTCGTCATCTGGGCAGCTGTTGTCCCATGACCCAGGGGACCCACTGGGTGACCACTGGTGCTCCCTGTGCCCGGCTGAGTGACTGGCAGCTCCACGAACACCCTCTGAAACAAAACAGACACGTCAAGGAGGAGGTGAGACAGGTGGGGCAAGCAGACATGTGCTCAAATGGCTCTAAAAGTAGGTTACCTTGGCCCAAACCTAACATGTTCTGCAGATCCTGCCACTGCACTATGACACAAGGCAAGGTCACCACGGGACACACCTGTATCAGCCTCAAAAGGCACTGGAAAACTTACATGGAGGCCTGGTTATCCTGGTAATTCCCAGGTAGTGAACGGAAGTAACTTCTGTGAACCAGTCAAAAGACCTCCCTGTCCATCCCCCATCCCCATTCCTGGGCGAAGGACCCAGGGACTCCTGGACCAGGCACCACCAAATTTAAGACTGACCTATAACACTACAAATTGCCCCAGACAACTCCCTTACCCCTCTCTGGGCTGGGGAGAGGAGTCAGGGAATAGCGGACTCCCCTGTTCGGTTCCGCTTCCCCCACTCCCCAACACTGGATTCACTTGCTTACATCCTATCCACCCTACCTGAGGATGCACTGGCACAGGCGCAGGACATGACAGTGGGCCTAGCTGTCTACCACAGACCCCCTCAGACAGGAGGACAGCAACCCAAAGATCACCTAATAGCACTATATTTGTGTAGTGTGTAGGGGAGACTCCATGGGCTCTGTGGCCAGGAGGCCCACGAGGCAAGAAAGGCACCTGCTGAGGACGCTGCCACGTCCACTGGGCCATCCTGGCTCCCGAAAGGCAGCTGCAGCCTGGTATTTGAGCAGGGTAGCACCACGACCTCTTGGTTCTTGGCAGTCACAGCCTGAGGGTGTCCCTGGAGTTGGCAGCTTCCAGGCCCAGGGACCTTGCTGAAACTTGAAAATAGCAGATTTACCAAATCACTGGCCTACACAAGACCTGCTTGCTGCAGGCCGAGGAAGGCAGCTTGGACAGAGTTTCAGTTGAGGGATCGAGGTGAGGAAGTGGCTAATACCTACTTTTGGCACTCTGACCCCTCTGGGAGCAGGAGAGCGCACAACAGCACACTTATTACTATGGTGTTGATCATGAAATATGATAAAGAGAAGAGTGCCTTGCAGCAGCAAGCGCGGGATATCATTGTAACAAGGAGACTTGGCTCTGTCCAGACTGAGACCTGGCTAGCCTGCTCCTGGCTACTCACCCCACAGCAGAGCTGGCGCCCTCGACACTCTGTGCTGCTGCCTGGAAGTAATCCACTTCGGGGAAACCTGGGGGCAAAGCAAACAACCCGTTAGGGGGCAAGAGAGAAATGCTGCATTGCTGGGCAGTGCTGGAAGTGTGCAGGACCACCCCACTGAGCCAGCCCAGGCTCCAGCTGCCTGCCTGTCCAGCTGAACCACGGGGGTGCCCACACCACAGAGCTGATTCTTCTGATCTCTTGCTCATCTCTTGCCACTGCTTGCACAAACCAGCCTAGCATTTCATTACAGCACCTCAGCCCCCTTGGTTAATGGTTATAGCAGTGGGAAGGCCTCAGTCTTGCAGATCTCCTTGCCCGGGAGGCAGGCAAGGGGTTTCCAGGCTCCACAAAAGAGACAGAGAAACAAGGGGCATGGGAAGACCAAGGCCCAATTGTAATTTTCCTGATACTGTTTTTATGCTGCTAAGACTCCACTGACGTCAGTTGTGTTAGTCCTGATTTATAACTGTGTATGTGGTGTGAAAACAAAGCCTCCAAATCCTGCCTGGCGAAGAACTGCAGTTCTCAAAGCAGGTTAGAAGACTGCATAAATCAGAGGCAGTGCTGTATTTCTTCTCTTCTGATCCCACATACATCAAAGAGTTCAGAAAAGGCCACATGCACATGGTGAGCGTGTGCAGATGACAGCAGACTTGTACTCCCACCCCAGCTCTGGCCTTGCTCCTCGCTCCTGCCCTGCGGCCCTTGCCAGCCCAGCCTAGCCCAGGCCCTGCGTGCCCCACTGAGGCCCTGTGCGCCCCCCCTGCCCGCGACTGGGGGCTGCTCACCTGAGTTCTGCTGCAGCTTGGAGACCCACTCATTCATGAGCAGCTGGGATGGGGCCCTCAGAAGATACTCAGAGCCATCCCGTAGCCTGAGAGAAGAACAATAAGTCAGCAACAAGGAAAACGTAGGTTGCAGACACCATAGCCCCCAACAGCCTTAGAAAAAAGGGAAGCAGATGAGAAAGAAATCACAATCCAGGCACTGGGACCCCCTCTGAGCGGGCTCTTCCTGGAGGTACTTACTTAACAGCGACATGCAGCCAGGTTTAGCACACTTGCCCCAGAAGCGTAAAGACCTTGGAGCTGCTTCTTCTCCAGGGAGTGCTGTGGCTGTACAGTTTCCCACCCCCTAGTGTCACGGGCTGGAATTACTCACTGTAGTCTGAAGCAGTTGGTCTTTTTGGTGTACTCTGTGTCAGGGGTGCAGATCGCCCCGGAGAGGTTCAGGGGAAGGGCCACCACAGAGCTCTGCAGCACAGGGAAGAGCAAAAGCAACAGCAGGGTTTGCGGGCTTCCCTTTCCAGAGCCGGCACGGACACAAGCAAGGGAGCCCCCTGGCAGCCCGTTGAGCCGCCCCACTCCCCCCAGCCAGCCCCCTCCTGGCCCCAGCAGGGCCAGCTGGGAGAAGCAGGGAGAACGAATAAAGGACCCGAGCAATGGCTCAGCTCCAGTCCTGGATGCTGCTGCCTTCCCCGTGCTGCACCCGCTGTGCCATCCGTCCCACAGTACCTTGAGGCTGTCCCTCCGGTCCTGATAGAAGCACAGCGTCTGCCTCATCAGCACCGCGTGGAACAGGCTCCAGGCGCGGCAGGTCGCCTACGGGACACAAACAGACTCTGGTGGTGAGGCAAGGCCCTGCCAGGTGAGCAGGGCCTTTTTGCACCAAGAGCCTATAACTACGCAGTGGAGGGAGCTGCCGGGGACATCTGCCTCATCCCAGCTTGAGCAGTCCCACCGCCAGCCTGGCACCCTCTCCCCACAGCGGCAGGACGGACAGAGGCATTCAGGGGTGGTGTGCCCAGACGGCCCCCTTAGGGTCATCCACACATGCCATGGCAGTCCTGCTCTCCCCAAACCCTTCTTCTAGCCACTGCTAATCCTACCTCCCCATGCTGGTTGGAAGCATCAGCCAGGAAGCTTTAGCACAGCTCTCCCCCTTTTGGGGCCATTCAGGCCAATACCTCCTTTCCACTACTCCCGGCTCCAGCCTTGGATTTACTGCTCAAGGTTTGGGAAAAGAGAGGTGGTCTGCTGCCAGTCAAAACACTCCCCAGACCCCTGTGGGCTGTGATCCCAGTGAGGCCAATAACTATGAGATGTTAGCACCAGTAGCATCTCTGGCTTCAGTCCTTCCTTAAAATCTGGAAAAGCCTTTGGGTCCCTGGGAGAACTGGCGAAGGTGCTGCACACACCCCTCCAGCAGTCATGGCTCCCCTCTCATGGATGAGCAGTGATGTCCCCAGCAGCTCTGCTGTGACGTGGTACTGCTGCTCAGGAGGGCTGGGCAGGAGCAGAGACTATGAGAAGCTGCCCTCTGAGAGCCAAGGATACTGTCCTCTCTCGCCTTTCCTGGAAAACACTCCTGTGTTTGGGAACGCGACAGTGACGGCCACATTGGTGCACTGACAAGTGACATTGGTGGCGCTGTAAGCTAGGGATGCCTTGGTCAGGTCAGATGGAGTGCTTTCCAGGTGACGTTTCTGCGATTGTGTGTGTGCTAGAGATAACGTATCTCTCTCTCCATGGCCTGGTGGCAGCCAGCTCCCAGAAGCTGTTGGCTTGGCTGTCCTGTGGCTTTTGGGAGAGGATGGGGAGCTGCTGTTTTGCCTTTGCAGGCTGGAGTCTGACTGTCCAGCCACGGAGAAAGTTCATTATAAGTCAGTCTCCTGGTTGGACAGCCGAGTACCTGGGGTACAGGCCTGGCTGCCATGGCCCCTGTGCTCAGCTGCTCCCAGGAGGGTGCCAAGGGGTGCATGGAGGAGCCTGCCCCCCGGCAGCCCCCACACTCACACGTCACGTATGTCCCTGTGCCCCAGGGCCCAAAGGAGCCAGGCGGCTGTGACCCTACCTTTCTACCTCCTGTCTGCAGAACGTGCTTCCTCTCCAGCGTCCCCTCCATCATCTGAAACTCCGTTTTACTGGGGGGAGCCTGCAAGGAGAGAGAAGATGAGCAAAGCAGCCCCGGGCTAATGGCAACAGCCCCTGACCCCGAGGACGAGCGCGCCCAGCCCGCGGCTCTGACCTTGCTGCCCTCTCGCTCCCCGTCCGGATGTCGATCCCGTGCGCCGGGGCCGTCCGCCCAGGCCACGGACACAGCCTGCCCCGTGCCATGGGGCTCCTCCATGCAGGGCAGGGCTGCCCCACGCCTGCTCGGGCTGCCACCGCCCTCGT